ATTTGCTTTCTCACATTGTATGTTGATTTCTTAATCCATTCTTCCGAGGTTAAAAATGCCCCTAGATATTTAAATTCGCTCGTTTGTTTTATTTCTAAATTATTTACTTTAATGATATTGTTTTTTCTTGTCTGCTTATTACTATTATCCTCATGGGTCGTGATTACCAATCTGTATTATCTAGACTTATTCTTAAAGTCCATGCAGTGTGGCATTGGTAGTCATGTCTATCCACAACCTCGTGTACTTACAATCAATTCTGACACAGATGATCCTCCATGCCATGTCAGACTGTCAAGCTTCTGTCCTCTCGGTCTCCGTCTGCCTCTCCTCCCCTCTGACTTTCCTACTGTCACAATGAACTCCAGTTTTCTCCTTCTCATCACCTGATCACAGAATGTAGATTGTCTCATTCTGATGTAGGCAATCAGTTCTTTTCGTGAGTCAGTGTCTTTCAAGGTGTCTTCATTACTCTTTTTATCTGTCCAAGGTTTTATCATCATTTGTCTGTAAAACCACATCTCTGCAGCTTCCAAATCAGTTTTCACTAATTTACTGTCCATAATTTACTACCATATATCGATATAGGGTTTAAATAGCTTTTAGGAATTCTCTTTCTCGTCTTAAATGACAAAGAAAGATTGCATAGAATATTTTTCATTTTGTATAATGCTGCTTTTACTTGAACAATTTGACATTTAACTGCCCTTATAAATCAGGGTGCCTAAGTACATTATATTCTCTAGACTATGCTATAAGCTTAAAAAAACAACTGTTCCCAAGGGTTGAGTAGAGGGATTGGTGTCAGCAGTAAATATTACAGCTTGATAAGCTGGTTAAAAAACACTGTAGCCATCAGTTGCTGTAGAGATAGGTGTGGCACATCATGTCTCTCTACAACCTGTAGTATCTAATATGCATCAGCTTGTGCGTTGTCATAGTTCTATGCCATGGTAAAAGGCTGTCAGGAATCTTCTTGCATTGTCTTCCTATCTCTGTCTTTCCCCAAAGGGACATAAATGAAAACACTTTACCATGATGTACTCTGTAGATGTGAATGCAGAACAATTTATCAGTATTTTGCTTCTTTTTCTGTTGCTGTTGCTGGTGATTAGAATTCCAGACAAGTCTTCAAAATGTATACTATTTTCTGCAGTTTCCCTATAGTTCCATGGATTTTTGACTTTAGATTTAATTCGGTTAAAATAAGTATCTAATTGTTCTTAAAGAGGCAGTGACTAAAAACTTATTACTGAAAGAAATCGTAGACGTTTAATGAGCCAATGTAGACGTTTATTGAGCACATTGTGAGAAGATTAACATCTTTGGTAACTAGTAAGATTAATAAGGGAAGAAAATAGGAAGGCAGCAAGAGAGACAATTCTTGACATTCAGCATCATGGCTGGGAAAAAATCTACATACGGTACCATTTTCTGGAAAACTGCAGATCACTTATGCCAGAGAGAGAGAGAGAGAAAGAGAGAGAGAGAGAGAGAGAGAGAGAGAGAGAGGGAGAGAGAGAGGGAGAGAGAGAGAGAGTTGGGGGGGGATGTAAGGCTGAAACAAAAAGTGAAGTGGGAGGAGGAGAGAGAGAAAATTGCCCATGCACATTTTAAGGGTTGGTATAAGGCTGGCTATTTGATCCCTAGAAAACTAGCTGCCAGATTCAGCCAGTAATGACTGAGCAAATCTACAAAGACTATACAAAGGGCTTTACTTATGTTCAAATAATATAAACTAAAATAGAAGGCAGCGGAAAAGATATTTATCTACACACACACCCACAGGTTGTTTTAGGGAGACACATTTGCTCATGTCAACATAGACACATACATGTACGGACACAGCAACATGCTCATGTAACTGCATACACACACGCACTTTAATTGACATAATTTACAGTTTAATTTTAGCACATGCATATTCTTCTTCTTTGTTCACCAGCTGTAAGCGGAAAGTCCTGGTTGTTCATCCATTTTGACTTTGGCTTTGTGCCAGGGCCTGAGTTTTGCATGTACTTATTTATTTACTTATTTGTGTGCAGTTGGTTGTTGCTTGCCATTTGGCAGATGTACTCTGACTTTGAAAGAAGGCCCCAGTTAGTCGACACCTACATCATGCTTGTTGGGGAGGCCGTGGGTTTATTCTTGTTTTCCCCCACTATGGGGCCCTGGAATCCTCACGGGGAACTTGCATATTGAATGGATTCATCATGTTTGAATTTTGTTATTGAAGTAAAAATATCTCAGTGGTAGTAAAACCTTACATCTTTTTAATTAGGCTTGGCAGATTCAGGAATGTAAATATCTGATGCACCTTTTTATTTATTTTTGGGGATTATTAATTGATCGGGCAGACCTTTGATAATTAAAATCTTTGAGGCCTGAGCTTTAATTAAACATATAAATTAATTTTACACGTTGGCACGTAAAGTAGTAGAAGTTATATATTGTATTCATAAGTATATCAGTACATGTGTGCACCCTGCAGATATCGGTTGATGTTATCTCTCTCTCTCTCTCTCTCTCTCTCTCTCTCTCTCTCTCTCTCTCTCTCTCTCTCTCTCTCTCTCTCTCTATATATATATATATATATATATATATATATATATATATATATATATATATATATATATATATATATATATATATATATATATATATATATATATATATCTCACTTGCACCCACATTTGCAGAAATGATAACGTTTTTCATAATTGCTTTACCAAAAAAAAAAAACTTGGGTGGGGGGTGGGTTGATTGAGAAATTAGGGGGTCGTCATAACAGTATTAGTCCTCTAGTCTAGCCTAGCTGCCTATACTCTTAAGGTGGTTTGTGTGTTAATGGATTTGCCACATCTTTCTTATAGTTGACCTGTCTACCAGGAGTGCTGACTTTGGATAAATGAACACACACTTTGATAGTATTCCCATTTCGTCAGCACTGGAAGAGAAGCAGAACTGGCTGAACAGGCCAAGAGCTAGGACAAAGTTCCTATTTGTTTGTACCCATAGTTATGTTAGGAAAGATCCTGTTAACATAATCTGTACAAGCCACTTGTTAACTTGCATTCCCATACATTGGGTGGGGGGGGGGGGGAAGGGAGAGTTAGAGTTGAACTCTAGGTGCAGAAACAGAAGAAAGGATACAGGATTTAAAATAACACCTTCCCACACCCTGAGGTCACACCGGACTATAAGATGAGTAAGAACAAGGAAAGAAAATCACATCAATTTATTACAACTTGGTAATTACAGACGATACTAGATCAGACTGTGCTTTCCCTGTGTGGGTCTGGAGACCTTCTGCCCCAACAAGCATGTTGTAAAAGGCAACTGACTAATTAAGGGGGTTCTGAAATTGGATGTGTTGGGACCGATGGTAAAAAAATAATGTAGCCTGTGCTCAGCAACACACTGTGCTGACCACCTTCTTAAGGCCTTAGTTTTCAAGGCTTACCTCAGACTGTGTGTAATTCTGTGTGAAATGTTGGCTACTCCACAGTAGCAATGAGTTCTAGATGTATCACTACATGGCATTGGGCCAAAGAGTAGCAGCTGGATCAATAATATGTTTACACAGCCACTGTTAACCTAATAAAACACCAGACTGCCATTAGGGCATGTGCTGTTGCTAGTGTTTGCCTAGAGTATTTTGTTGCCTTGCTACATGCACCACCCCACTTTCCCCACCACAACTACTGCTAGGCTAGGTGGTGTTACCTGTGATATTACTTACTTTACTTTACTTTACGTTATAATAATAGCTTTTTCTGTTGTATGTTGTTATTGTCTGTAGTATAGTTTCTAAGATGCTACCTGAAGGTTTACCACCCTGAGATGTTTGAAAAAAAAAAAAATCTTAATCTGGAAGGTAGATCCCAGATACCCTGTTGAACCTCTAAAGAAGTTATAATTAGGGCATAGATAACGACAGCACCAGCCAGGTGCAGGTCAAGACGATTGAACAGCTGCAGAGGAGTTTTCTACTTCTTTCTATGAGTGCCGATCAATACATATAGTATTTTTACAACCTCTCTTTATTTATGTGCAGAGGAGTTGTATATTGGTAAGGATGCCCCCACCTTCCTCCTCCCAGCTGCCAAGAATAGATAGCTTAGCAGCATTGAGACAGGCAGCAAGAAGTTTTTTTCTGTGAGATTGATTAATAAAACAGATTTGGCTGTGCATTTATCCCTGCACACTGGTTAGTCAATATTTGTCACTCCACACAGTTTTTTAAAATTTTTTATTCAGTATTTGTCACTGTAAACAGTTTTTAGTAAGTATTTATCTACATTTTTTTGTCATTTTCTGGGTCTCTGTACACAGTTATAGTTCAGTTTTGTTCTTGTTGGACTGCTTGCAGTTATTACTCAATCTTTAATTTGCTTAATATTTGATCTGTTTGCAATTTTTAGTCAGTCTTTTATTTGTTAGCACACTTTGTGTCAGACCTTTGTTACCACAGTTTGTAGTCAGTCATGTGTCTGTCAGCACAGTTTGTAGTCGGTCTTTTGTCAGTTAGCACACTTTGTAGTCAGTCTTTTGTCTATTACCACAGTTTGTAGTCAGTCAGTCTTTAGTCTGTTAGCACACTTTGTGGTCAGTCCTTTGTCAGTCAGCACAGTTTGTAGTCAGTCTTTTGTCAGTTAGCATACTTTGTGTCAGTCCTTTGTTACCACAGTTTGTAGTCAGTCATGTGTCTGTCAGCACAGTTTGTAGTCAGTCTTTTGTCTGTTAGCACACTTTGTAGTCAGTCATTTGTCTGTTAGCACACTTTGTAGTCGGTCATTTGTCTGTCAGCACAGTTTGTAGTCAGTCTTTTGTCTGTGAGCACACTTTGTAGTCAGTCTTTTGTCTGTGAGCACACTTTGTAGTCAGTCTTTTGTCTGTTAACACACTTTGTAGTCAGTCTTTTGTGTGCACATTTTTTGTTGTCTCTTGTTTTCTGTCATTATCTGTAGATAGCTAATCTGTTGTTTCTCTTGTTGCAGGTCAGTAGATGCCGTCATGGTCGGGGCAGCTGTGTCTCAGTGCATCCAGACACCTGAGCCACCGACATCACATGGCAAGCGGACTCGGCATAAGAAGGTGAATTACCTGGAACTGTTGAAGGGGGAAGAGAAGGAGAAATCTTCCAGTGCTGCCATCTTGGAAACCATAGAGTCTGTGGTGAAGTCTGCACCTGATCATGTACATGAGGGAAAATCAAACAAATTGTCAGTGAAGAAGAAGATGAAAGGTGATCAGTCGGGCAGTGTTAAGCATTGTGGTACTAAAAAGAAATTGACACCAATGCTGCAGAAGAAGAACACTGACAAGAAATGCAAGATTAAGAAAGAATCAGTTGTGGTTGTTGACCATAAAGCCAAAAGTAATAAGACCAAAATTGGAAGCAGCGTTAAGCCCATTGTTGAAAAGGACATTGACATATGTTCTGATGTTGACTCCAGCGACTGTGTGGATTTAGCACAAGCTAAGAAGTTTCGACCTCTAAAGCTAAAGGTAAACAGCTTGTTGAACTTTGCAGGCCAGCGGAAAGGACCGTCATCGAGTAAGAAAGGTCTGTTCTCGTGTACGAACTCTGCTGTATCGCCGGATGCAGACAGATCCCTTCGGGTTCTGGCTGTAGCTCATCAGGCAGCTCTGTCAGCAAATAATGCAGAATCACATCTTCCCTCGCAGCCTGCAGACATACATCTGGACTTGTTCATCAAATCAAACTCTGCCTGTGTCCGCTGTGACACCTGCAGTCAGTTTCTCTCTGTTCCTCACTTCATGCGCCACCATCATGTTCCTATGGACAGTGAGTGGCTGGCAACAGAGGCAGCACACCGCATCCTTGTGCCCCGCAACAAAGAGAACATTTCCGAACAAGAGAAGCATTTGTGGGAAGAGTTTCCACCATCTTCAGGAAGCCATCGGTGGCTTTGGAGAGGCAGATGATGAAACGGAGAGCGATGACGATTACAGTGACGACGATCACGATGACCATCCCTCATTTAAACTATCTGAGCCGTTGTCCGCTAGGTTGAATGCTGTTGGTTGCAGTGAGCTACAGTTGAAAAGTATAGAATTGGCTAGGTTATCATCAATATGTGATGGACCTCGGCTGACTCAGGAAGATGCTGGAAGTGCAGTATATACGAGAACTAGCCAGACAGCATTGTCTCATTCGAAGCCGGTTTCGTATGTGACCACAACACAGACAACTTCTCTTACCATAGTTGGACAGCACCATGGGACAGAGGCATATGGTTTGTCAAGTGCTGGGCTTCTGGGCGGAGATCCAGCATCATCAAATTTGAGAACAAGCTCCAGGAAGAGAAAGTCCAAGCAGTTGTTTTCAATTGAAAATTATTATATTCCTCACAAATTGGTTGTTGATGAAGACTCTGGTTTGAGTGGGAAAAGTTTGGATGTGATTAAGCCTTGATTGTGGCATATTTTTTTTTTCTTCTTTCGAACCAGAATCCGGATTTATCATTGGATACTTGCTATGCCATGGATTATAACATTTCAGTGTTGTTGCATTTGCCATGTGGTTTTGTGTGGGTCAGTGGTCTTTATTAGTTAATTTGTGTTGAGTGTTGTGTAACTGATAGGAAGGTGTTAACGAATGTTTATTGACATTTTGTACATTAAATGGATTCACATTAGTAGATAATTTTCATGCAGTTGTTCGGATGTTACTGAAAAGCTTTCAGATTTTTTCTTTGATATAGGAAATGCTGATTTCATGATGCATTTCAGACCAACCAACCGTCTTGTGTAAAGGATTCAACTTAAATGAAAATGAAAAGCAAAAAAATCTGCAGATTTTGTGGCAACCTCATCATATTCAAACATTTGTTGAACAGTTTCTTGAAGCAGCTGTCATTTAACTTCTACCAGCCCATAAATGGAATGATTACACTTTGTTCAGTTGTATATGTTTGTGTGGGCACTTGTTGTTTGCGGAAACAGCACCTGGGAGCGTTATCTGTGCTTTGTTTGTTGTGTTAGGGGGTTACATTTGTACAGTGGTGCAGTTAGAAAATTTTCTCATTCATAGACCTTTTCAGCCTGTTCAGTGGAGACAAGTGAAGACAAAACTTGATACAGTGGACAAAGGTCATACCGTACGAGAGCCTATTTTCAAAACTGGATATTATCTGTGATAAAAAAAAACTTTTTGTAATGATAGTGCATTTTTTCATGTTGCGCTTAATTTCTATCCCCCTTGTTATTATATACATATATAAATATATTACACCCTTCCATATTATTTCTGAGTTGATTACACAATAAAGCTTATTGTTTTGTTGTGTTTTTGTTTGTTTAGACCTCATGGTTCCATGCATGATTTTCTTAATAGGAGTTGGTATAATTATGCATAATTTTAATTAGGAGGGCACTTATGTCCTTAAAACAAGAAATCACTGGGTATAACTGTAGAAATTTCTGAATTATCTTAGAGTATTTATTTCAATGTCTGTAGCTAGGATTCAAAACTTTTGATATCAGACAGGGCACCAATGGTGACTCTATCGTCACATATTTTTCTTAACTGCCTTTGTTCCCGAACTGTCTGGGTTACAAAGGTTTTCTGCAAATATAACCCAGATATTTGTGCTGTCAGCTTTCTGAGTCAAGAGTTCAGTTAATATTTAGAAGAGAGTGGGTTAATAAAATGTTATCTTAACTTAAAAGAGTTTATTAAAAATAAACTGGTGCTCTTAAAAGTATTTTAGATTGTTCTGTTTACAGCCTGCAAGGAGACTGGATATTTTAGTTGTTAGAAACTATAGAGATTCATCATAGCTTGAAGAAAGTATATGTAGAAGTAGCCAACAGTCTTGAAGCCAAAAGCAAAAGTGAGCAACTTTACTTATAGTGGTCAAGACGGTAACATGCTAAAAATTTATAAGAAATGGATTTCTCAAAATTTAATGGAGACGGAATGTGCAGTGTTGCTGTCACTCGGCGAGAACATCTCCAAGAACATCGCCAAGAGCACAAAGACTGAAAAAATTAGCGATAATCCCCAATTATTATCTGAAATACTTGCACTCGGACCTGATCAGCAGCATCTGAAACAAAACCCACCAGAACATTCAGACAACTGATGGCTTAACCACTTATCAGCATAGATAGCTTGATGTTATAGCTGACATATTACAGCATTTCTCATTTACCACTAATTATTACTCTGGGAAGTAAAGGTGGCCAATGTGTTGCTGACCACATCTCCCACCAGGTACCACTTGGTCTATAAAATATAGGTCTATCCCTACATGCCTGGTACGCCATCAAGCCACCGCCTTTACTTCACAGGGCTGCACCTGGTACCCACTCAATGCTGGGTCAACTTGGGAGTCAAGATTATTTTTGGATAAAGTTCAGGGCTCCGTCAAGATGCGAACCCACGACCTTCCGATCTGCAGGTGGGCGTTTAGCTGCCAACGAGACGGCAACAACGTCATGGCAACCCCCAGCCTAAAGAAGGCACCTAGTAAAAGGTAAAGTCGGGAGATGTGAACCAGCATTACTGCACACGATTTGAGACCATAAGTGCCCTGCCACCAGTATGGACAGCTGATAAGAAACTGTCCGCCTGTGTCGCTGTCCGCACGTAACTCCGTAGCTACAGCGACGTTTCTCCATTTACCCCAGAGTGTTAACTCTGGTACCCATTACCTAGAGGCTGGATGAACTTTTGAAACCGCCTGGTTTAAGATGACAGAAAAATGTGATATTACCATACAGGTGGAAATATTAACTTAGTAGTCATTCAAATTGTTAGTGCAGTCACGACATCGAATGGGAAACTCCTTGCGTGGCTTAGTGGTTGAGCTGTAGGCATCAAGCTCTGCAGGTCTTGGGTTTATTTCACAGACTGTCATTTGGTTCCACGAAGACAATTTTCACGGAGCTCCTAAAGGGTTGTCAATGGGGTTAACAGAGTTTTTGCTTGTGTGTGACACTCTCATTAGATGGCTAGTTGTTCTGTGGAGAGATACTGAACCAGTAGAATAAAACCCAGGTTTAATGAATTTATGAACATATATTTTATAGACCAGTTGGCACTTGGCGGGTGATGTGATCAATATCATGCCGGCTGCCTTTACTTTCCAGGACTATATCTGGTAAATATCATGGACAGCCTGAGAGTAACTAGCAGTGATAGCCTGGAAAAGGCTGATGAGAGTAAAACATTATCACAACTATAAGAAAGAGGGGCAGCCTTCTTCAGTTATGTGATAAGAAAAGTGGTATTGCAGAACATTGTGACAATTGGAAAGATCCTTGGAAGAAAACAGAAACAGGGAAGTGCCGGTGGAGGATCTAAGATGGTATATTGAATACAGGAATGTCTTTAATAGAACTAACCTAGATCCTTAAGGATTACCATTTGTGAAGTCATCTGAATACCTGTGCCATTTCAAAGGACACTTGATTATTATCACAGGCGGCTGGTAAATTGTTATTTATACACATTAAGTGGCATGTAATGTCCCATTGGGTGGCCTGTAATACGTCAGGTATAGATGTTAGCTGGCTCGGGTGATATCATTTATACCCTTTAGTTGGCTTGTAAGATGTCAGCTGTACGCATTAGATGGTCAGCAAGATATTGTCTATTCATATTACATAGATAGCTGGTAAGATATTAGCTATACTTATTAGATGGGCTGTGTGCTCTCGAGGCATGGTGTCCGCCTCGAATGCTAGTTTCTGGGTTCAATCCCTGATAAGGGCTGGTAATTTCCCCTGGTTTCTGGGTAGTGAGATCGAATGCCTGTGTGCATTGTTGCGCAAGTAAAAAATCCCTTGGCAGTTGGAAATCGAAAAGGGTAGCTAGCCTAACGGTGCTGCCTGGGCAAAATTTGGAGTTAAAAATCCACCCAAAAGTATTTCAGGTTCCTTGCCGGTGCTACAGAGCCCGTGCACTGTGCTGAGCTACTTTGGACTCAGACTTGAGTTAGAAGAAGAATGGAGCACTTATGGGTTACTACCAGTGTGCCATGATGTTGATCCGTTGTTCAAACTCTAAATTAGATGGGTTGTAAGATGTAAACTATATTAGAAGGCTGTAAGAAGTCAACTGTGCCCATTAACTTGCCTGTAAGATGTTAACTTTACACATTAGACTGCCTATAAGAAGTCAGCTATACACATAATGTAGCCTGTAAGATGTGAACTGTACACATTAACCAGCCTATAAGAAGTCAATTATACCCATTAACTAGCCTATAAGAAGTCAACTATACCCATTAACCAGCCGATAAGAAGTCAATTATACCCATTAACTAGCCTATAAGAAGTCAACTATACCCATTAACCAGCCTATAAGAAGTCAATTATACCCATTAACTAGCCTATAAGAAGTCAATTATACCCATTAACTAGCCTATAAGAAGTCAACTATACCCTTTAACTAGCCTATAAGAAGTCAGCTGTATCCATTAGTTTGGCTTGTATCAAATGCACATTTTTATTGCTGGTAAAGTTACATAGATGTCTAGCAGGTGGATGCTTGCTGTCTGTGGTGCCTGCCACACACCAGCTGTATAATCCCAGCAAGCATCTGTAGTCACGTCTGCTTGTTTAGTTTGTGATGTTTTCATCATGTGGGATTATTATTATTATGATTATTATTGGTTGAGGCCTAGACTTGTCTGTGTTGTTGTGACTTCCTCTGTCATGTTGTCCACGTCACATAGAGGTCAGTTTTGCCAAGACAGTAAAACCTCATTTTTTTTCCATCAAGCTGAGTTTTGTTGGAGCTGTCAGTTTGCTTTGTTTGTTTGAGGGGAAGATTAGACTGGCTGTGTGGATAAGAGTGGCGCTGTGCATGTGGAGGTGGGGGAGGGCAAGACTGACTGTTGGGGAGCAGGATTAGCTATGTGTGTATTGTGGGGATGGTGGGGGGGGGGGGGGCTGTCTGTGGTCTCAGAGTGTGTTATGTGAGGTATGTTGTTAAGGAACCTGTGCACATTTCCTAGCCCATCTACACACTTTCTCAGTCTGATCTTGGTCAGAGGGGTGCTTTCTTCAAAGAATCTCTCATGTGACTGAGAGAGGTGGTGGGGGGGGGGGGGGGGGGGGTTTGAGGTTAGGGTCAGTCTACATGTTCTGGGGTTGTTGAAAGTGTGTTGTAGTGTGGTATTGAACACGCAACATCAGCGTTGATGTAACTGAAGGAAAGACAACATGACACCCCTTCAACGTAAAAGATTCTTAGAAAGTATGAATGAAAGGTCAGGTAGTGTGTAGATGGGCCTGGAAACGTGACAGGACCTTTTCTGCCGTTTATAACCCAACTGAGCACAGGCCGTCAACTAACTCATGCCAAGAGGGCCTATCTTATTTGTTCCATGTCCTCCCTATCTGTTTTTTAATTTTATTCCCTAGCTTACTTCCAGGTTGTTGTTTTTTCCCCTGCTTTTATTT